TCCTCAGTATTAGAGAGCTTGGAATCTCCTGGCCTCTAGAACAAACACTTACCTACTTAACCGATCTTCTGCAAGTTCCTGTGTGATTGTACCTCCCTTTTCATCAAAAATGACCCCCACACACTGACACTCTGCTCTTCAGCCATACTGAGCTACTCATGGTCCATAGAAGACATGACCTTCTCTCACTGTTTTCATGAAATGCTCTTTCCCCATCTTCCAGGCAAAACCAATCCATCTTTCAAGACTCACCAAACCTTTCTTGAGCAACCCACCCTGCTCCTCACATGCAGAACTGACCACTGTATTCTGTGTGCTCCAGTGACAGCCAGTGCAAACTCCCTTGATAGTGCCTAGTAAATCAGAAGGCATCTGTTAAGTCCACTATAAGATTTTCCAGAGCAGACACGGAGCCTTATTCCCCTCTCTGTCTGCAGCACCTAGTCGAGCATCAAAATGTTTGCTGATTGTTAAAGGAATAGTGAGCCACTCCATCAGAATAAATGGATGTTTTAATGAAAATAGAAGATGTAGTTGTGGTTTGTTCATTTAACTGATCTTTTTTTTTTTTTTTGTCCTTTTTTTGAGACCGGCCGCACCGCGCTCAGCCAGTGAGCGCTGTGAGCGCACCAGTCATCCCTCTATAGGATCCGAACCCGCGGTGGGAGCGCTGCTGCACTCCCAGCGCTGCACTCTCCCGAGTGTGCCACGGGCTCGGCCCTAACTTATCTTTTTTTTTTAAGTACCTCCACGTGTCACGTACTAGGCATAAAAAGTTAAAAACTTTAAGGAGCTTATGGTTTGTGTGCAAGACAGAAAGGACATGACGGTCTGCATGTTGGGATGAGCCGTACTCTGATGAGCAGGGTATGTGGGATAACAGAAAGTAGCGAAGTCGTTTAGGAGATCTTCATGGAGAAAATAAAGTCTAAGCTAGATCTAGAAGACCCGGGGGAATTAGCAGGTGAGAAGGCACCAGGTTGCAAATGGTTTTCAATGTTAGTACAGAGCAAAGGTCAGCAAACTATGGCCTGCAGGTCAAACCCAGCCAGCCACCTATTTTTGTATGGCCTGTGAGCAAAAAATGGATTTTACATTTTCAGATGTTAGATGTAAAAAATACTATTAACCTTTCTCTGAGGACAGGTGTACAAAGAGTTGCTACAGACATTGCCTCCTGGCCTATAAAGCCTAAAATATTTACTATTTGGCTCTTTAAGGAAGAAGAAGTTTGCTGACATCTGGCACAGAGTCACAGTGACTGCTCACGCCGGGCTGCTCTTGCTCCAGTCCCAGCTCCACCCTGAGCCTTGGGACCCTTATCTGTAAACTGGAGCAGAAAACAGTACCTACCTCCTAAGGTTTTTGAAGATGAATTTCTTAAATTAATGTATGTTAGCCTTGCATCTGGCATAGAGCAGGAGTTTGTTATGTATTAGCTACGATGATGATTATGACAGTGATGGCAATATGAAATGGGATAAGATTTTACCAACAGGATGGTGTTGACCAAATGGAAGATTTTCTTTTTTTTTTACATACGAGTAACAGGATCAAATTTGGACTATATAAAAATCCATTTGAAAAGACAAATGATTGATGCCAGGGAAACCAAGGAAGTTATTGTAGCAACCCAATTTAAGGTGAATACAATTCACCCTAAATCACGAAACAGAATGGGGGCAGAGAGGATGAGATGGATAAGCAGGGAGTCTAGGCAGTGATTCCTCACAGTGAAATCTCCTGACCCACCAGCATAGGGATCTCGTGGAATTCTTATTTTTAAAATTCAGATTCTGAAGACCCCCAGTCTAGTACTTCAGAATCAGAGTTTACACTTGTGCGGGGTTCAGAAATCTGCATCTTAGAAGCTCCTTGAGTGCCTTTTCCTACACACTAATGTTGACATCCTCTACTTTGAGAGTTAAATTTACCAGCAAAAAAGGCTGGAAGAAATGAAGGCAAAGCAAGCAAAAACTATAATTTCACTGGGTTCAATCCTTTACCTCACTGCATGCCAACGGACAGAAACTATGCAAACACACCTTGCCCTTAGCATGACAAGCCATGTGGCCTTGGAAGAGAATGGATTCTGCCATATTAACAACTACTCTCTGGAAATCCATTGTTTACAGGGGATGGAGGAGACTTGTTCTTCATAAAGCCATGTTGATTATTACTTTGCCCTCCTTTTCTCTGTCTTTGAAAACTGAGTTCTGAGGCTTATTGAAATGTGAACCTCCGCTTATATTGAGGATCTTTAAAAACAATCAGTGTGAACAATTCTTTTCAGCTAATTGTAGACTGTAGCCAAAGTATTAGGAGTTCTACAGACACAGAAAGTCTTAACACTATGGTTGTCTTGAGCATCCTCATCACTTTTTCCATGAACATTAAATTGCTTCTAACATCTATATGAAGCCATTAATGTAGATGACAGCATTTTTCTAAAGGTTTTAGTCAAGTGGACAGTGAGTTTTGACCAATGAATGAAGATAATTTTTATAAAATTAATAGGTTTATCCAGAACTTATCTAAATTAGTGGCTGTTTTTGATGACTTGTTTTTCTTTCACCAGTCACCGGGCATTTATTGAACAGTGTACTTGATGCTGTAGTAGGAATACATATTGACTGGACAGAAAGGAGGGGAGGGCCAAGTCACCTGGCAGGGGAGTGGTGGCCAGAAAGGTCTTTAGAAGAAGCAGCCTCAAAAGGTAAGAGGGAGTGAATTATTGTGAGAGGTGCTTCAATTATCCGTGGCAGTAAGTTGATCTCACTCCTCTACTTTCCGTAACTGACCCTGGAATCTTGGAGGTGCTCTCTATTAGAAAGTGTCCCCCTTTTTTCTTTTGTCAAACTGACAAGTAGTGGCCCCAGACAGAAGCAGGCCTAGTTCAAACCCCTTTCCATAAGAAGCCTGGCCTTGGCTGCCCGGCCACTCTGAGGACCAGATTCTGGACTGCAGTGGCTACCGAGTTCACCTGCTCAGGGGCCTATGACAGGATTTACTCTGAGACAGAAATATCCTGCCCGAGGTCCCCTCAGCCCCAGAAGCCTGGCCTTGGCTGCCCGGCCACTCTGAGGACCAGATTCTGGACTGCAGTGGCTACCGGGTTCACCTGCTCAGGGGCCTATGACAGGATTTACTCTGAGACAGAAATATCCTGCCCGAGGTCCCCTCAGCCCCCCACTCCCAATCTCTCTACACACGATGCTCATGCCAACCATTCCCAAATCTATGTTCCTGAACCAGGCTTCCCTTGCAAATTCCAGTCCTGACTGCTGAACACCAATGCATGGGTTTTCTATAGGACGAGAGCAGGAACTAAGGTTTTTGAAGTATCTGCTGTGTACTGCATATGGGGCACTGTTTGGATACATCAGGATTCATAGGTGAGAATGACAGAAACTACCTCTAGCTAATTTAAGCTGAAGAGAATTTACTGGAGGGAGATAGGGGAGCACTCAGAAGGAAAAGCAGAGAACCATATACAGGTACCAAGGAGCTCCAGAGGGTCTTGCAAGCAGAAACTGCCTAAAAGTTTCAGGAGCCCACTATTTCTGGAATGCATGAACTCTGCTTTAGTGTTTGGTTCCTTTCACTCATGATTCAAATTCTAGAGCTGGGGGGATCAAATTGGCAAAGCTTGGATTGTATATTTGGTCCTTACCTAGAAAAGGAGAGGGTACGCCTGCTAAAAGTCCCACCTGTGTGTATCCAATGAGGAGAGGTAATTCCCCAAAGAAAATCAGGCTGTGGTCATTCAAGGAAAGCAGACTGAATACTGACTAGTCAAAAGCTGCCAATGCCCATGTTGCGAGGTAGCCATCATTGTCACCACTTGGCAGCCCCCACCCTCAGCACCTCTCCTCTGCATTCCTCGCTCTCTTCACGTCCCACCAGCCACCTGAGCCCTCCTTGCCCTCCACCACCACCACTCCACTCCCAGACAGTCCCGCCGATGTCCTTCTGCCTCTGGACTCTTCTCTCCCTCCAGTGCCTGTGCAGTTGCTGAAACACTAGTTCGGTCATATCATTAACCTGTTAAAATCTTGCAATGGCTCAATATCGCTAGTCAGACACAATTTAAATTCAGTAGCATGAAAGGCAAAGAAGGCTTTTGCTCGCCTCTGCAAGCTCAGCTTTCATTATTCCCTGCTATTCCCAACATGCCCCAAAACATTCATCATAGGGCTCTGGCTTACTGTGACTCTTCAAGTGTCCCAACTGCCTCTTTCTCTCCTCCTTATTCTCTGCCAGGAATACCTTTCTCATTCTAGCCATCCTGGTGTCTCCTAAACAACATTCAAAGCCCATGTCAAGTACACCTTCGCGAAGAATCTTCCTCTAATTTCTCCAGGCTTGGTACTTTTTTGACGCTCCTGTTGCATTCTGTACATAGTCACATGCATATTTATAATGCTGGGCTAGAATGACTTATTTATATATTTGTAAAAATAGTAATGATGATGATATTCATGGCTAATATTCTCTAAGCACTTACCCAGTGCCAGGTACTATGTTAAATTCCTAATATGAATTACTCTTATTTAATCTTCACAGTCTCACCTAAGAAGTGGATGTTATTGTATAAAACAATACCTATTTCATAGATGAGAAAGCAGAGGCTCAGAGAGGTTAACTAACTAGTGCGGGATGAAACAGTAAACAGGGGAGCCAGGGTATAAAGTGGGCAGGCTGGCTCTGGAAGCCTTGCTTTTAATCTCTTTGTGCTACCCTCTTCCTTCTGCTACCAGACTGTGAAAGTTTCTTAAGTTGTAGGCCATGAATGTTTCCACTTTTCCAGTTCAGTGTCTATTCATATAGCAGACAAGAAATATCTACTGAGTATATAAATGAATACATTCATGGAAGATCGAGATCCTTTCTGGTTGGTAGGACTCAGACACGGCCCTGTCTGAAGCTGGATCCTAAGGTGGACGCAGGGACCGCCTCTTGGGAACTTTTGCAATGTTATAACAGTAGTTTGTACTTACCACAAGCTTTTTCCTGATAGCCTCTAGTTTTTCAGTAGCTGCAGCCAGTTCTAAGTTTGCTTGGGTTAATGCTTGGCGTTTTGGCTCCACATCACAGTAGACCTGAAAATCCATGGGAGTTAAATTCATAAGGTAATAAAGATGTAAAGAGGACAACTCATTCAATCCTGCATAGGCTGGAAGCTTTACAATTTTTTTTTTTTTTTTTTTTTTTTTTGAGGCTGGCTGGTGTGAGGATCCAAACCCTTGACCTTGGTGTTTTGACACTGAGCTCCAACTGACTGAGCTAACCAACCAGTCAAATTTTAGAATTAAAATCTCTAATTCCCCTAGCGATCTGTTGTTTGTTTCTTAGCCATGATACCACCAAGGCGGAGCAAAATCCACACATCCTTCCATGTTTTCTCTGGTCCTCTACGATTTACTTATTATTCTGGTCATTAGTGCTGCAAGTATTTGCCTAAAATGCTATATAGGTCAAATACCATTAAGATATTAAAATTGGTTTGCAAGAAATTGTGAAGATAATTCCCATCTCACTAGAAACTGCAGTGTGCAGAAACTATAAGTAAAGTTCAGATCAGGTCTAGCCTTTAAAGTACAAAACACATGTGGAGAAATTCAGCGAACATGGAAGGGAAAATGGGAGATATCCTCACACAATAATAACCACACGTTCACTTTCTTTTCTAAGTTCCTGACAACTGTAAGCCTGTGCTATTTGAATGGAAGGCTTGAGAATTTAGGTGGATCAATTTTTCTCATGGTGGGGAAAGAAGAAGGAAATTAAATTTTATTTCTTATTTTACAGTGAAACAACATAGAACACAGCCACAGTCTAGCTCCATGCTCATCTTTTCACCTATGGTACAAGGAGAACACAGCATTCAGGCATTTTATCATGGAGAGAGGACACAGATCTACCGCAATTTGCCTCGACTCTTGCTCTATAAAGATTCTCACTAAAGAGAGAGATCAAGAGAGTCCCCTTCCTGTGGGCCCTGCAGTATATAAAGGATACAACCTGGGTTATGAAAATCATTTTGGGAATGGCATTGACTATGACTGGCTTTTTCTCAGTAATTTCATATTTGAATATAACATATAACCTTTGAAGACAAAAATGAGACAGTTCTTCAGGGTCAAGGGCCATGTACTATTCCTTTCTCGCAGTCAGTACTTTGCAAAGTGCTTGGGACACAGTTGGCAGGCAATAAATATTTGATAAATAAATGACTAAATGAAATGATAATCTACTTTCATTCTGCCCAAAAGTACAAATTTTAGATTAGACCATACACAGGCAAAAATTTACCCTTCATTAAAACACTAAAGCAAGGAAATTGTTATTTTCTCACCTCACTACATCTACAATAGAGATGGTGTAAATTTTTGCTTTAAGAGCAAGGATTATGTTTAATTCAATGTGAATCGAGACTTGTAGTTGTTTCAAGTCAACATAAATTGAATATTTTAATGTAAATAAATATAATTCATAAATGCAATAAGTTTTGATCTAATTAAAGCAAGTTAATTGTTGCTCTTCAAATTAATGTAGCTAACCACTTTACCCTAAAAAACAAAACAAAAAAACAGTTTCTACCATTTCAAATATCCTTCTGTACATAATTCTGTATACTCTGACATGTACATATCTCATTCTTAGAACTACATATCCTTGTTTAGAAAATTAAATATAAAATTATTTTACATTTTTTGCTGACTTGGAAACTGATATATTTATGTTTCTTTATGAATAACACCTGTAAACCATCAGATTAGGAATGATACCTCATAGAATTTAATGATGTTGATGACCCAGGCACAGAGACCAGCTGCTGCAAAAGATTTGGTCTGAATCAGATTTGGATTGAACTCTGGGTCTTTCAAATACTGTTCATTGACCACTTTTAGACAGTTCTCTGGAATGTGCTCTTTGTCATAGTTAATTAAAGCCTGCAAAAAATCATCAACCTGCAAAGCAAAAAGACTTTTTGCAATGAACCCATTTTGGTTGCAGAGAAAAATTCCTAGATCAAAAGTTAAAATCAGTTTTTAAGACTCACATTACAAAGGCAAAATTGGCAAGCTGCATTTATCCTACTGCTTGACTTTTTCAGTCTTTACAGTATGAAGTTAGAATTAGCAATGGACACTTTTCAAACCTCTTCTATCCCAGGGTAAAATATTCAGTCCTGGCACAGGAGGTATTCACATTTTGAAGAAAAGAAAAGCAAAGAGAAAAAGCAAAACATACACCAAAAAGCTCCTTTGCTTCACCTTTTTGTACATTATTAACATTTTTCCACCCTAAGAAATCCATGTAATTTTCTCTCTCCTACACTTAAGTGCTTTCATAATTTTGCAAATAATTAGCAACCTTCCACCTGCTGCTGGCATTGACTTAGGTATGCCTCAACCCCAAGCTAACCTCTAACTTAGCAAACAAAAACTGTAAGTCTAGAACACATACAGCAGATTACAGTCAGCAACTATGAAGAGGATTTCCTTTGACTTGAACATCCCAAGCATAACCACAGTACTGAAAACAGTATAGAAATCACGGGGAGTTTCCTTTTGCCAGGCTGGATAGTACCTTTCCCATGAAGACTTTAGCCGCTTTCCAGCTTCGGTCTCTTGGCACTCTGCCCCGTGGAGCCAGGAGGACCATCACGGCCGCAGTGACATTGGTAACCGCAATGGGAGGGTTGGGAAAGGCTTTCAGTTCAGTGAGGTTGACCTGAAGCAAAGGGCACATACACACTTTGGGTCAGGGCAGTCTGCAGAAATGCTGTAAAGCAGCAACACTGGTCTTGAGTAGCCCCGCACCTCTCCTGAGCACATCCTCTCTGTGTGGCAATTGTTTGCCACCTGCCCAGGGATGCTACCTTGGAACTCCAGGAGCTTCAGTTCTTGCTGGGCACTTCTCTGGAAGCATCTCTGCCCATTTTTTGCTTCCAAGAAAAAAAAAATCTATCTGGTATACTAGTTCTGCAGAGCCCTGCTCACCAAGGCTAGGACATTTTATACACATATACGTTGTAAGGTATTTACAGGTTCTATTCCGCTATGTAATATAGTTTCACTTTAACCTGGCTCTCCCAGAAATGCAACTCAGTTCATTCTCTTAGTTTTGTTTTCCTGCTTTACATGCACTAATAAGAAGCATTTTCCATTACACTACAGTGACTCTCAGGTGTCCCATATAGACTGCACCTTCTTGCCTGCTCCTTAATCCTCTCAGGTTACAACACTGATTTAGCCAATGATGGAATTAGTGGTATAAATTACAAGTATCAGGACAAATTCTCTGGGACAGAAATTAGTCAGTACCTTTAAGAAGTACATGTAGATTCGTGATACCTGTTTCCAAAAACAAAAGCAAACAGCCAACTATTTCCTGTAATATTTTATGTGCTATATAATACACCCTTGCTTATAAAACCTTATCAAATGTTGAACCTGAATCTGCTTGCTTACCAGGAACTGCCTAATTATTTGGTAAATGATTGCAAAGAATGGTAAGGTTCTTTGAAGCAAAGATGTACAATACGCTTATGATACAAATGATAATTGCAAGCTGGCTAACCATGATTATTTTATCATTTATAAGTATACCCAGCTTTGTATTTTAAGTGACCTTAATTTAATGTGTCTGGGTAAGGAGTAATCTACTCAAAGAAGAATTTGTAAATTTAGAGGAACACAAAGAAGAAAACAAACATTCCATTTACTCAGAGATAACCAGTTATTCTTTTATTTTTTTCCAATCTTTTTTCTATGTAGATGAATGCTCTTACCAAAAAAATTAGTCATAAAATATATCCTATTTTATAGTCTGCTTTATTCACTTAATCATAAACCATATCTCACATTGCTAACTAGTATTCAACAATATT